GAATGAGGGGTATCACGATGAGAAGGGAGCAAGATGAGGAACAGGAATTGGCTCAGAGCAACGCCCCGAGCTTCAGCCTCGGAGGCAACAGCACATGGCTGATCGAGCCCTGGGGGCTCGGCCAAAAAACGCAGGGCTCGATGAGGCTCTGCGTGTCAACCAAGCAAATGTTGTTCTGCGACACAACGCACTTCGCCCAAGTGGGCTGCGATTCCACAACCTGCCATCTATGTATGCAGGTCGAAAGCTCACCACCAATACTCGCATGAAACAGCACAGGCCCGAACTCAACGACGTTGTCGCTGCGAAATGCAACCACGTCCCCTACGTGAACAACACGGCAGTGCACGTGCGCATCCCTAGACGTGAACACCTCGATTCCATTGTGAATGTCATTGGACGTGCTTGCGAGGGTGGCTCGGACCTTTTTTGTCGCGGCCTTTGGGTTCAGCAGGGTCGGTTTGGTCAAGGGGTCCTTCAACTGGTAGAGATGGGCCAACGTGATTTCTTCCATGAGCCCCCTGTTGTAAGAAACGGTGGTGTGTCTGCCTTCTGCCGTGACCTTCACGTGTCGGCGTTTGCGTTCCTGGACAAACGTTGATAACAGGCACTTATGTCTCCGAAGAATGTCTGGAAGATGTATTGTAAAATGCGTCTTGGGGAGCCAGAGGTCGAGGCCATAAGCTGCCTTGTGCAGCGATAGGTGTCGCCCAATGGCTGTTGCAAGCTGGCCTGCGCGTACAAAGCCAGAATTCACTATGGTCAACAATTGCACCACGACGCATAAGGAAATGCCGCTCATGACCTCAGCACTGTTGTCGCCGACGGTTGGGAGTGCCACCTCCCGCAACCACTTCTCGAGCACCGATGCGGACGATAAGAAAACAGAGGCGTTGCCTGAGGGCTTACCATCGGAACACAACTTCTTGGCATCGGGGTATGCCAAAGGCCACTGCCACCCCTGAAGGTACGAATCAAACACGGCACTGTCTAGTCTAACACGTGTTAAACGAACAAACAATTCTGTCACTTCTTTCGTGTAAACACCATTGATCATGTAACAATGCATCCAGTCCCAACACCAGACCCCCGTAACGTCGATGTCGTCTACGAGGCTCTCATCCTGGAGCCAGTTGGACTCCGCGAACTTGAAGCCCATCAGGGTCTCGTAAGTCTCCAGCTCGCGATTGTTACCATTGGCCACGGCCGTCATCCATAACTCTCGAAGCTTGCGCTGAATGCCACGCGCGGTGCTGGCGGTGTTCGGCCTGAACTTTGAAACGTCAACCTCGGCCGCCGAGACGATGAAATTGGCGGGGTCGGGGAGTAGCTTCGACCTGTGGCCAACCACGTTTGCACACATGGCGCACAACTTGTGCGCGGTGGCACCCTTCGCGTTCATTGACGACTTGAACGCGCGCTCATCTTGCACGATGATGCCCAAGCGTCCGAACACCAATCGCGGCACAGCCTCCCCGCATATCAAGATGGACACGCCATCCCTCAAGTCTGGCTTGCCGTCAGCACGGCCAAAAAACTGGCGAAGCACATGACGGAACACCTGGGACATGTTGCCGTCCATCTCGTCGACGCTTGTCGATTGGAGGGCCGCTATGGTGTTCCACGCGGCCTCCGCGGACAACGCAGGAAACCCCAGCTCTGCCATGCTCCAGTAGACGGTCTGCACCTTGCGGGCATTGTGCTCCGCAAGGGCGTTCCCTGGAGTGACCTCGTCAGCATAAAGTAATATTGTGATGCAATTCTGGCTCCGATCTAATGCCTAGGGGGGGGGGCGTCAGCCATTCCAACGGGGAGCCGAGGGCGCGGGGCTGGGGACGGTGGAAGGGGGATGGTGCGCGTGTGTGTGTGTGTGTGTGTGTGTGTGTGTGTGTGTGTGTGTGTGTGTGAGTGTGAGTGTGTGTGTGTGTGTGTGTGTGCGCGCGCGTGTGTGTGTGTGTGTGTGTGTGCGTGCGTGCGTGCGTGTGTGCGTGCGCGCGTGCGTGCATGTGTGTGTGTGTGCGTGTGTGTGTGTGTGTGTGTGTGTGTGCGTGGGCGGGGGGTTCTCCACCTCCTCCTCATTCGTCTCCTCCCTCCTCCTCCTCATCCCCCTCCTCCTCCTCATCATCATCATCACCATCACCATCACCATCACCATCATCATCATCATCATCACCACCATCATCATCATCATCATCATCATCATCATCACCATCATCCTCATCCCCCCCCTCCTCCTCCTCCTCCTCCTCCCTCCCAGTCCACCCTCCCTCCTCCACCTCCTATCCTGATCCTCCTCATCCTCCTCCTCGTCACCATCCTCGTCCTCCTCCTATCCCTCTTCCTCGCCATCCTCCCTCACCCTACGCACATTTCCCCTCGTCCTCAGCCCCTGCCCCTCTCCATGGAAGAATGGATGACAGCCCCACCCACGGCCTCGACTAGTGTCTCCCTGTAGCAATCAGAGAACTTCGAGGCCGCCTCCAAGAACCCAAACGGGTGTTGCAAATACATGTCCACGTGCTTCCCCTTCACCGTCTCCACTCTGTGGAGCTGCAACAGCGTGCCGAACGGCGTCATCTGGAACGCGATCTTCTGGCGCTCTCGCTGGATCGCCGGCGGGCTGGATGCTGACGGCAAGCCCTCTCGGCGCACCTGGTCAAGAATTTGCGAGAGGGCGCGAGCCGTGACATGAGCGCGGCGGCCGAAATCTGTGAGCTTCGGTGTCTTAAGGGGCGGCTCCATTGCGAGCAGCTGGCCAATGCCAGAGCCAAAATGGCTACGGAGGGCAATGAGGGAGGGCGTGGCGACGAGGATGGGGCTGGCGGGAATGTGGCAACAGGGGTGGCTGCGGTAGATGGCGACAACGGCGCCGACAGAGGCGGCGCCCTGGACATTTGCATGACGCTTCGCGGCCCACTCCCGATCTGGTTGTGTCTCTAGGCGGGGGGAGGGGTGGTGGGGAATGTATCGGCTCCAGGCGGACGGGCACCGCTCCTCATTCGCTATCGGACGGGACCACACTCGACATGTCGACGGCCCTCTCGAGGCGCCTGGCCTTGGTCTCGGTATCCAGTATCCGCTTGAGCAGTTTGAGGTTCTGTTTTCGTGGTCCACTCGTCCTGGTTTTTGTTTGGCGCCCCTGGACCTCCCAAACCACACGTTTGCAGCGAATGAAATCGTCACGGTGCACCGCCCATGACCAACTGGTAAACTGAGCATGCTCATTGTATTATTTGGTCTTGAGCGTGAGGGTTGCCACATTTAGTCTCATGATCCCAACGTCAGTCCTCAAGTCCCTGACCAGAAGGTGTTGGACTTCCAGGCTCGGTTTGATGCTAGTGAGCTTCCGTTCGAAGCCCTATGAGGCATCCAGTAATCTGGACCCATCCTTCTCTTCTTCCTCCTCCTCCTCCTCCTCCTCCTCCTCCTCCCCCTCCTGCTCCTCCTCTTTCTCCTCCCACTCCTCCATCCATCCCTCCCACATCCTCCTCCCCCCCTCCTCATCCTGATCCTTATCCGTTTTTTCCGTTTCCTATTTTTTCATTCTTCTTAATCATCTTCCTCGGACGCCACATTTCTCGAGCTGCCCTCTTGCGAGCCTCCCCTTGACGAGCACGGCCCCCTTTCGCCACTTTCCATCGGCCCCAGACGTCAACCCTTTAGCCCCCGCCCTTTGTGTCTAGCGGTCCCATTGGTTACATGTCGTCTTGATTGGTCAGAGGCGCCATGGGGTCGGGTCGGAGCTGACACGTCGGGGCCGAACACCGCTTCGGATGCAACGGAAACAATGCGATGCAGGCCCAAAGTCGCACACCTCACCCCGCGAAGCAGTTTTTTCCCTGCCTACGTTCTTTCCCAGGGCGATCATGTGGGCCCACCGCTTGACACATAAAGCTTACCATCACGTTGTCCAGGGGACCGATTCAGGTGTGAGGTGCGAGGGCGAGGGTGCTAGAAACATACAGCAATGTCGCCTGGCAATGTAGGCAGATCTGGCGCTATCGGGCCGCGTTGGCACACCATGTGACGGAAGATGCGCGAGAACGAGGGTGAGGAGGGTGAGGAGGAGGAGACTTAGGAATAACTAGGGATGAGTAAGGAGGAGGAGGAGAAGGGGAGGACGAGATAAAGAGATATCGAGAGACAGAGAGAGAGAGAGAGAGATCGGGGGAGGGAGAAGGAGAGAGAGAGAGGGGGTGAGGGGAGAGATAGAGAGAGAGAGAGAGAGAGAGAGAGAGCGAGAGAGAGAGAGAGAGAGAGAGAGAGAGAGAGAGCGCGATAGAGAGAGAAAGAGAGGGGAGGGAGAGAGGATGACTTAAGGTGGATTTTTTAGAGAGAGATCGTGAGAGAGAGGGGAGGGGAGAGGGGGGCGAGGAGAGGGGGGGAGAGAGAGAGAGAGAGAGAGAGAGAGAGAGAGCGAGAGAGAGAAAGGCTGAGAGAGAGAGGAGAGCGAGAGAGGGAGGGAGAGCGAGAGAGAGAGGGAGTGGGCTATGGAGAGGGATAGGCTCGGCGCGTGTGCGAAACCAAACATGCAGACATGACTTGTTTCAAGGGGAGGCAGGCAAGATGAGGAGGTGGAAACTGAGGAGGAGGAGGAAGAGGATGAGGAGGAGGAGGGTGAGGAGGAGTGAACGCGAGGAGGGGGAGGAAGCGAGAGAGAGAGAGAGAGAGAGAGAGAGAGAGAGAGAGAGAGAGAGAGCGAGAGAGCGAGAGAGTGAGGGAGAGAGAGGGGAGGACGAGGCCCTGCGAGAGTTCGGTGTCCCCTCATTGTGCCGTGTGGGACGTCCCCACCTAATTATCAAGCTGGATCGTAGGCGGGGCACTTGTTTGGTTTTTGCGCCACCATAGCTGCATGCGCGTGGAACTCACGAAACCCATGGGCGATGCCGACTGGAGCAACACCGCTTGGTCCTATGCAAGGGAGCACACGTGCAGCACGGCACTACTACGCACGAGCGGACCCCATTCCCCCCCTCACAGTCTCAGGAAGCGGGTACCCCCTACTTCGCACCTTTGTCCCAGACTGCGGCAGCCGACCGATACGCTGAACGGCCAACCTCTGAAACGCTATCCCCCGAGAGCCCCAGCGCAGCCGCCCTGGCGCGGGCCCTGCCGTACACCCAGCTGGCGTACGTGTTCTTATCCCTGTCCCCGATCTGGCTCGGCTTCAACAGGTCCTTGATGTCGACCTTGCCTCGCGGGGGCGGGGCGGGGGGTGGATGGGCGCCGAATCGAGGGGGAGCAATCGACAGCAAATCGCAGCACGGCTCAGCACGGACGCAGTGGGCGGATGAGAAAGCGAGGTCAGATGGGGAGCGGGGGCGGCGAATGGGGGCAATGGCGGTGGAGGCGGAGGAGGTACAGGAAGACACGGAGGATGACGAGGAGAATATGTGAATAGAAGACGCGGCAAATAGAGCAACAGACGGTGGCATGAAATGAGCATCCCCGCCTGCGGGGTCCGAGCCGCACCGCTTGGCGCCCTTGGTCGTGCCCTTGGCGCTCGCCTTCGCCTTGGCATGGCCCTTCGCCTTGGCCTTGCCCTTCGGCTTCGGCTTGGGCTCGGCCTTGTCGAGCTCCCCCTCGGAGCAAGCGGCAGCAGCCTTCTTGCGCTTCATGGGGATCTTACCCAACGCGTGCCCTGCAGCAACGGCGGCCTCCCTCATCCTGCCCTCGATCTCGGCAGCTGCGTCCACCTCCGCAGCCGCGCCTGCTGCGCCCGCGCCAGGGGCTGGCACGTGCGCTGGCTCGGCGGGCTTGCACGCCGATGCCTGGACGAGCGGCGCGTCCACGTGGCGGCCCAACTCGTTGTCGGATGGGCTGCCACCGAACGTGGTGCTGACCTCGCCGCCGAACACGGTGTTGGGGGCCCCTGGCTCCGACTGCGGGGTCCTGACAGACCGATTCGACGGTTGCCGATACAGCTTGTCCGCGAAGATCTGTAATCCTGGCACGGGCCCTTGCCCCATGGAGCCACCGAAGAGCCCCTGCACGATCTGGTTCCCGACCTGCGCGATCATCGACTGGATGTCCTGGGGGCCGTTCGCGGCGAGCAGTCCACCTGGTGGTGCTGACGCCTTTGCGGCCACCAGCGCCGTCGTTGAAGGCTGAGCTCCCTTCAGAGCTTTGGCGGTGCCACGGTAGAATATGCCCGATGCCGCTTGCGTGATCACCTCGTGCGTCGCCTCAACATCATCGACAGGCACGTCGTCGCCGTAGGCGAAGTTGCGACGAGGGGCGCCCAGATACATGGGGTCCATCGGGTACTTCTGAATGTGCGGGAACGTCTGGGGCGTGGCTCGGTCGAAGTCCTTGACGAACTCCTTCAGCTTGTCGCACATGGCCTTCAGCATGGACGCGGGCAGTACGCCTGTGCCACCCACGGCATAGACGATGGCAGCGCCACGCTCGAGGCACGCTTCCTTCGGACACGTAATGCCGATGCGCCACATGCGGGAGCCCACCACACGCAGCTTGGCGTCGCTGGAGAGGTCGGTGCTCTTGATCGCGGTCCAGTCGCTCTGGGTCAGGTACCGCTCCAACCAGTTGCATTCTTGCTGCTTCCTGCCGCCATGGCTTGGGACAGCGCCGCCCATGGCATTCGACAGCGCTGTCGCGATGGCGATGCGCTGGTCATCTGACCATGGGCCTACCACGAGCTCGGTCCCCACGGTGGTGACGGTCGCGATGTCGAGGTTGGACTGCTGGCCGATGAACGAGATGAGGGCGTTCACTTGCGAGGCGATGATCTGGTCGCGGGGCATGCCCAAGGCGACCTGCGAGTGGATGAACGCCACGCGCTGGCGGACACTCCCGATGATGACGTCGGCGGGCGTGGTCGCCATTGCGGTGTCCACTGCAGCGCGGTAAGGGTGGCACCAGCTTGCTGGGAGCACGCTCGAGCTAAGATTGAGCCAAAAGTGCTCGCGGTACAACGGAGGAGGCTTGGGGGGGGGGGGGTGCGCCAGGGGCCGTGAACGGGCATTGGTCTGGCGAGCTCTGCCCAGGTCCAGACGCATGGGGGGGATCAAATCAGAAGTTAGCGAGAACAACACTGTCGGTGCGCCCACTTGGGCCCCATTAGCGGACCGACGCGCTACCGTGCCTGGCCGACGGTGGCATGGTACGCCCCAACAACACGCTTCGGATGAGCGCTGTCTGCGATTGGGGATCACGCGTCGCAAGTGACATCATCGCATGCCTCAGAGCACCTGAGACAACCTCACACGCGTCCGATCGGCCACACAACAAAGCTGAGCAAGTCGCTCGAGGCATCACCGCATGCATCTGATCTGAGGGTAGTGCCCGACGCATGCTGTGTAACAAGTCGCCAGGGCGACCTGTTACATATGTAACAGGTCGCCAGGGCGACCTGTTACAATTGCAACGTTTCGAATCGACCTAACCGTTGCATGTTGCAACGCATCGAGACCCAATGGACAGTTGCATATGTAACAGGTCGCCCTGGCGATCAGTTACATATGTAACAGGTCGCCCTGCTGAGTTGTTACATATGAGACGTTTCACACTTGGGCATCGGTGGGCTCGGTGAGCCAGGGTCATCAATTGGTATAACTGAGCACTCGACACGTGGTCACGGTTAGCGACCGCGCGCTCTAACTTGCAGTGTGCGACACGCCCTACAGACCAGCGGTGCCCCACGACTGGGCTGGCGGGCAACGCCCCAACGTCGCGACAGCAGCTAGCCGAGCACGCAGCTGTGCACCTGAACGCATGGAAACATCGCCTCCCCGACGGCGACACTTCTCCTGACTTCGAGCTCGGCTGAACCCACCGCTGGTCATGCGCCAGGCGGCAACGCAAACACCACCTCGTTCGGCAGCGGAAGCTCGGGCGAGTAGTGGTGCTGCCGAAAGAACTCCATCATCACTGCTGCAATCTTGTTCGCGTCCTCCTGGGTCTCTGCATTCGTCTGACACTTCTTGACAGTCATGCTCTTCCACCGCCACCTGTTGGCCTTGCCGTCGTAGTAGTTGCACCGAATGGAGTGGCGGCACTTCAACCACCTGATCATGTGACTGACGCTGCCCTCTGGAAGCTCAGGGATGAACTCGTCCACCTCCGCCGACGGAGACTTCTGCAGCCACTCGAAGTTCTCCTCCAGGAACTCGACGCTCAAGCGCGCCCGATGGCTGGCCGACGTCAGAACCCACATGGCGTGTGACCCCCCGTTCTCGCAAGTCGTCGTAACCTGGACCATGTTGGCGATCTGGTCCAAGCACTCCTTCCGTGAGCGCTTGAGGGGACCACCTTGCGGAACCGCATCTTGGTCGCCCATGGGGTCGGCCTCCACAGAATCAGCCTGGATCATCGCTGCGTCGGTCGCCTCGTTCCTGCGCTTGATCACCTCGTCGACCATGCGGAAGTCGTTGCGGAAGATCTTGCCGCACCTGGCGTCCAGGCGATCGATGGTCACAAAGCGTCGGTTCCCAACTTGGGTGATGAGGGCAGGCCATCCACCCTTCTGATCGCTGAGGGAGATCATAGCATAACCCTCTGCGAACGACACCATGGACGCGAGGCGCTAAGGTAGCGCTTACAGCGTGCGAAGCAGATGGGCGGGCGAAGACTGTCTTGCCGATGCTCGAGCCAAACAAAAAGGCTATGTACGGCGGGGCCACGTGGGGGGGTCTCGCCTCTGTGCGCTGTGCGCTATCCACATAGCAACGCAGCGTCGCGCTCGCAGCGCGCAATCACCAAAACCGACGAGGAATGATTAGCAGGAGGAGTCGGAGGAATGCGCAGTCCAGGGCTCGATGGGGGGGCCTTGGAAGGGCGAGCGGGGGTGCGGGGGAGGGGGGCAGGCGCCTGCCTGAGAAACACCCTCTTGCCCACTACCAGGTGTCTGGCCCAGGGAAGGCCTTAGTGGGCAAGAGCTGTTTTGAGCGTACTGGGACCACCCCCCCTTCCCACCCATCCTCCCTCTGCAGGGCCGATGGTTTGAGCGAGCGCCTGGCGGGATATTTTGGCCAAGCTGCCCCTCGAGGGCCGCTCACGACGCAGCCTCCGATCCTCAGCAGTGGTTGCGGCTGAGCCGGTGGAGGTGATGGCACATAAAAGCTACCAGAACCAGGAGCGAGCGCCTGGCGGGATATTTTGGCCAAGCCTCCGCTCGGACATATGGAGCAAGCGTTTACTATCCACCACCCGAAG